TCTGTAGCGGAGACGTGATGTGTTTCCTGTGAGGTACGGACTGAATGTTTAATTCAGATGAAATCCATGTACTCAAATATCTTTCTATACCAGAAGTACAAGTGGGCATTGGCTGAGAACCTTCGATGCATGAACATTTTCTGTCCCCTCCCCCCCATAAAATTCAGCGGTCCTCTTCCCCCTCTTCAAGCTTCAAACGAGTAACTGTAAGCATTAAAATAGGTAGTAAACTCCAGTACACAGAAGTTCAGATATTTACTGTCCGTAACAAGAATCCGGGTATTCTGAATTTGGAATAAGCCCAGCGGTAATGCCCTAGTCCTGTATCTGCGAGGTGCTCAGTTCGAATCTTGGATGGGATGCCGGATATCCTGATTGTTTCCATGATTCTCTTCAGTTGCTCCAGGCAAATGCTAAGGGAAGTACTTTGATTAGACTAGGAGCCCTTCCTTCCACATCCTTTCCAATTCATCATTCTATCATCCGACGCTACGTTCTCCAGTTCGGGAACGTACAGGCGGAGACCTCTGTGCGGAGAATGCAGCAAGATGAGGGACGCGAAGCTACGGCTCACTGTCCTCAAGACGCCGAAGCTTCTTGTTCTTGCGAAAGAAATAATGGGAAAATTAATTCGCCTGGACTCGAACCCATGCATGTATCAGTAAAATGAATAATTTTCCCGGGATGTCTTCCCGTGGATCAATCCAGACGCTTTCAATTATCTTGATTAATTGAATTACTGAGTCTATTATATTTATCGGAACTTACATATATGGGCATTAAATTTCTGTGTTAATAGAGCTTAATGTGGTACTTCACGGTTTCATACATGTGGCGCCGTGGGTTTCTGAAAGGTTCTGGATTCCTCTTGGAGCCTAGGAGCCTGGAATGTTGATGTTAACGGGAAGAGCTTACTAGTGGACGCGCCCCCAAATGTACGTATGGGAACCACGTATGGAAAAGTCAGTCAGGATAATCACCGTATGAAGGCGCAGCCCGGCTAATTATGACGCAGTTGCTCTGTCCAGACTGTACCAATCAGATACGAATTCGCTCTGTACCTGTCCGCGGCGGAACCAACTCGAAATATTGAATTTCCAGCGTGCGGGGTACAAAACCACCTCCAAACTGAACACTCCCGCTTGGGAGGACCTGCTCATTGAAGTAACTCTTTCAGAGTGTAAATGTTTGGATTAAATAAGATTTCAGATTTTCACATCCAATTAAAAAAAAATATCAGCATTAATATTAATCAGCCCAACTGATGAAGCTTGCAGAAAAGTTTCGGCTGGCAGGCAGTGAGAAGGGGTGTTAAGAGTGGAGGGCACAATCGAGGGGCCCCGGAGGGCCTGTACCACAAGACTGCGCTACAGTTTACGGCTCTCATTACCGCTGTTGGAGACGAGACCCCAGCTGGAGGGCCTCTCGGGCGGAGGGACCACCCCCGTACAGGAACAAAGTGAGATCCTTCACGGAGACCGCCATTATCAAACCGAAATGCGCTTCGCGTCACACCGAATTGCAATTAAGGGTCCCACACCACAGAACTTTTCCATTAAAGGTACAAACTCGAAACTTCGTTCCGCTTCGTGATATCTCCTAACGCCAGAACACAGATCCGTTTGTTTGCGGTTTAACGACGCAGTCAGTATCTAAGAACGCTTCGTGATATCTCCTAACGCCAGAACACAGATCCGTTTGTTTGCGGTTTAACGACGCAGTCAGTATCTAAGAACGCTTCGTGATATCTCCTAACGCCAGAACACAGATCCGTTTGTTTGCGGTTTAACGACGCAGTCAGTATCTAAGAACGCTTCGTGATATCTCCTAACGCCAGAACACAGATCCGTTTGTTTGCGGTTTAACGACGCAGTCAGTATCTAAGAACGCTTCGTGATATCTCCTAACGCCAGAACACAGATCCGTTTGTTTGCGGTTTAGAGACGCAGTCAGTAGCTAAGAACGCAGATCGCAGCCGGATAGGGCTATTAGCGAATGAGTGGGAAGCCATGTGGAACGATGTGGGGTAGTATAACCGACACATTGTTAGATATACTGAGGAATACCATGACAATTCCCACTCAAGATATGCTTGATTTGAGGTCCTCATAGCAATGACTATAAAGAGTACTGGAACTTAACGCCAATTAGTTCTGTAGAAGCTCTTCATGTTTCAGAGGGACGAACTGTCTCCATCTTCAAGGTGGAAGAGTAAGGCAAACAAGCCACCAATCAATCAGCAAGAAGATATAAAATGGTAGAGTCAAGATGTGTAAAAATTCTGCATAGTTAAGCGCCACGCCATGAAGACGCGTGGGGAGTGGAGGTATAGCTCCAGGCAATCTTCTCGGCAGTACACGGAGGTGAGTGCCTGGCTCTTTGCCTCCCCACGGATAGGGGTGGTACGGACTGAATGTTTAATTCAGATGAAATCCATGTACTCAAATATCTTTCTATACCAGAAGTACAAGTGGGCATTGGCTGAGAACCTTCGATGCATGAACATTTTCTGTCCCCTCCCCCCCATAAAATTCAGCGGTCCTCTTCCCCCTCTTCAAGCTTCAAACGAGTAACTGTAAGCATTAAAATAGGTAGTAAACTCCAGTACACAGAAGTTCAGATATTTACTGTCCGTAACAAGAATACAGGTATTCTGAATTTGGAATAAGTCTAGCGGTAGTGTCCTAGCCCTGTATCTGCGAGGTGCGAGGTTCGAATCTTGGATAGGATGCCGGGTATCCTGATTGTTTCCATGATTCTCTTCAGTTGCTCCAGGCAAATGCTAAGGGAAGTACTTTGATTAGACTAGGAGCCCTTCCTTCCACATCCTTTCCAATTCATCATTCTATCATCCGACGCTACGTTCTCCAGTTCGGGAACGTACAGGCGGAGACCTCTGTGCGGAGAATGCAGCAAGATGAGGGACGCGAAGCTACGGCTCACTGCCCTCAAGACACCGAAGCTTCTTGCGAAAGAAATAATGGGAAAGTTAATTCGCCTGGTCTGGTCTGGTCTGGTCACAAAAGTGTCGGTGATCAGACATTCACGCTTTTGTCCGGATCGTTCCAGGGTCATCCAGCCCTCATCTACCAGACGACACGGCGTCACGTCTTCACGTTCCTCACAGTCAGCCCCTAAGAACGGCAGATCTTTCAAAGGGAATGTTTCTACAGGAGTAACTGACGAAGTGAATTTCAAATGAGCCGTTGTTTGCTCAATGGGCCCACGCAAGGTTGGCCGACATGACGTCACAAGGGGGCAAGTACGGAATGCTTTGGTGTCAACAGACCCGGCCCCAGGCGCACAGACAGGGAGTGGACATAAAAATTACTCAAAATGTCAGAGTTCAAGCACAGGGGAAATTAATTTCGTTAATTCAAGAGATAACAGCATAGAAACGTATGACGCATTCATGAGGTAATTCAGCAGAACTGCATGAGCTGAAATTTAAATAAAATGCAACGCTAATGAATGCAGAGAAACGGGACTGTAAGGACAACAACAGTGGGGAGGGAAGGGGGTAGAGGAGGATACATAATGAACATCCAACAAATCTTCATTCCACGAGCAGCACTGGAATAGCAACGCAACGGGGGATCCAAAACTGAAACACCTGTCACCGCCACACAGCGAGCCTTCTGCATCAGCACTTGGCAACATTATTATTTCACTTAACTGACGTCAATTCCGTCCGCGTGGATGTGGGCGATGTGTCCCACGTTTCGGTGGTACATGTTGCTACAATTTTCAGGGTCGAAGTGTCTGAAGTAAGCAAGTTTTATATATATATATAAACTTACCACCATCTGTGAGGCTACTGTCTAGAGAGAATGTGGGAGCTTCGACGTCTCACAACCCTATGGGCCTTCACTGCCTGTTACAGGGATAGCTTTACATTTTACTTTTATAGTTATATAGGATCCTGTTTCCAAACATAACGAGGCAGGGAAGGTGGAATGGAGATTGGGCACTTCTCGGCCAATAAGATGAGCTGTTCTGCCGGCCCTTTTAAGGGTCCCACAGTGTACCACAAAAACCCCACCGGCAAGTAATGCATTCTGGGGCCCTTGAGAGGGCCGGCTGCATTATGTTCCCGGTCCACTGTCCCTAGCGACCAAGATAAGGGACTAATCTCCACTTTCTTTGCCCACCACAGTTCTTTTGCGAAATCATCCACTTTAGACACTTCGGCCCTGAAGTAGCAGTGGTAGTAGCAGTAAATATTACTGAAGGTAAAGGTAAAATTGTCCCTGTGCTGAATTAAATAAGCGCCACGCCATGAAGACGTATGGGGGAGTGGAGGTATAACTCCAAGTTTCTTGACCTCGGCCCTAGATGGTGTAGAGTGGTCGGATTCACGCCCCGGTCGCTTTACCCCTGAGGAAAGAACCTCTCGTACCCATTGCATAGGAGTCTGGGCGGGCCCCGGAGCCGGTCTGGATTCTGTGAAGTAGAGAAAAGTCTCGTACCCTTACCGGGAATCGAACCCCAGGCGTCTAGCCCGTAGCTACACCGACTTAGCTGTCAGGTATTCGTCCAGTGGTCACTCTCTATCTAGACTTGTGTTCCAAATGTGGTGTACTGGAGCCTCGGCTTGTTCGGGCTGGATGTCCTTCCTCGTTCTACTGTCCCTCCATGCAAATTCCAGGATTTATCAGGATCAGACCACGGACGCGTCCCTCAGTGTCCTTGCCTTAGAAGAGGTACGGTGTGGATACTGACAGAGTCATTAAAATAATCTCTCACTGAAATTAATAAGTATTTCCCACAGGAACTGCATCGAGCCTTCCCATGCTTACGGCAGGTTGGAAACACGGTTCAGCTGCGAAGCTATCAAACTGTTGCGAAGCGTTAATCTGTCTTAAAGTGTAGTTAAGATCCTGGTAGAGAGAAGACGCGGCTATTGCAAAAAGGAACGAAGCATATAGGCTGGTCTGAGCCACAGTCCTACAGACAGAAGAAATGTAAAGCCTGCGTGAAGACAAGACAGAGCTACTTACCGAAGGGAGAGGGTTCCCTCAGCGGCCTGAAATGAGAGAACAGTGATAATTAATTAACATACTTTGCAAAGAAACTGTCAACGGCTACGTGACTTCACAAAACAAAGGTTTAGAAGTTCAACTATGTACGAACTCCGACAGGCAATGACTCTGTTACCATGGCGACATTTGTTGTCCCAGGAAAAAGCTCGAAATGTGAACACCGTGTTAACAGTAGACCCTAAGCATATGTTACGAATTTAATCGTGCGAGGGCAGATGATCAACCGAGCCGATTGTTAATTTAATACATAAAAGAATCTGTTGTTTGATTCCTACAGCGAAACTAAATAAAAACACAGTATTGTGAAATTCACTCCGTACTATTACCAATATGTACGGTAGCCACTGCTGTGCAAGTGCTGCGTAGTTTCTGGGTGGGATTCGAATCCTCATTCCCAGGGGTTTAAATTACAAGAAAAAATTGAATTTATCGATCTGAGTGTTATTCTTGCTTCAAGGTTTTATCTGCTGTAGGTCTACTCTATGCTACTGACACGGACGGCAGCCATGTCCCGGCCGAAGACCAGGTACACTTCTAGTACTGACAGAACACATCTCTGCCTTTTCGTTTATGAAATGAGGTCCCGGGTCACACTCGGCTCCACACCACACACAAAGCAAGGTAAGGTAAGGTGAAGTCCCTGTGCTTAACCAATTAAGCACTACGCCATGAAGGCGTATGGGGATGAATGTATAGATTCACGAATAAGCGACGGGTCTGTTTATCCGTGAATGTTAAAGAAACTAATAATTCAAGTGCGAATATTAAAAGAGATATATGGTAGATATCTGGGATCCACTTCAAATACCCGACCACCATTATTTCTTTGTGTTGAGGAGACATTTGATAACAACGATAACGGGTTCAATTCCCGACGAGGTCTTTGGATTTTTCAACTAACCGAATTCTTCCAGCCACACTATGGCAGTGGGGTCGACTCAGCCTTTAACAGAAATGAGTACTAGGAATCATCCTGGGGGGCTCAAGGGCAGCCGGCGCTTATGACCGCCATCTGTCAGCCGATTATCCAGAAAATGTGCGAGCCTCGACGACTCATAACCCTACGGGCATCCAAGGCCCGTTACAGGGATAGCTTTATCTTGTTATCTTTTACCATATTCAAAAGTTAAAGAAACGTCATATTTACCGCACAGTGTTCCATGTGAGTCTCACAATAAACAGCGACTGTTTCCATGAACAACATTAACCTACTGGGCTCTGTAGCGGAGACGTAATGCGTTTCCTGTGAGGTAGGAACTGAATTCTTAAATGCCTGGATGCATTGCAGACTTGAGGTAATGAAACAGGAACATACTCAAGGCGCAATGCATGGAAGGAGTTACACAGCACTTCCAGATGCATTCGTGATCGCAGGATTTGCAGACCGCTTAAGGATTCCTTCTTAACATCAGCGCCAACAAACTCCTTCAGATTAAAATAATATGAAAGATTCCATGCAGCTCTGTAAAAGCAAATATGGATAGAAGTGACTATAACCCTACCCATCCTAAAGCTTGCTAGGATGTTAAACGTTAATATAACTCCACATTACGCAGTGGAAGCTACACATGCGTCATGACTTTGCGGTCAGTAACTCAGTGGCCAACCCCTCCCTAAAATATATACATTTCCACGTGTTGTTTCATTTCCAGTGTAAACAACAACTATTTTTCAACTTAACTTTAATATATCGAGTTCTGTAACAGAGATACTGTGATGTTTCTGTTAGAATACTTCGCGGCCCGATCTAACCCAAAACAGTATGAGAACAAAATTATTTTAAATTCGAGAAACAATACTACATACAAACAAATGGATTAGCAATGGGTGCCCCAACATCCGCAATAGTAGCGGAAACAAAACCCCAACATATGGAACGCAAATATATCCAATCCTGATTAAATAACTGTATACTGGAGCATGTAGATGAAGGACTTGTAATTTTCGACCAAAGGAAAACAAACATAGATAAACACTTAACAGAATTCAATAAAGAACAGACCAATATAAAATTCACAATTGAAAATGAAATAAATAAGGCAATTAATTTCCTGGATCTCACAATACACCGAAAGACAAAAAGTCAGAATTCGTAATATAGAGAAAAACACACACAGACATCATAATACCCAACAACTTATGACACCCATGTGGACAAATACATCGCGTATTAATTATGAGCCTATTAAATAGATTACGAACATATCCAATAACAGAATGAGCAAACTAAACAGATCTCTGTCATAAAACGCACTGCACAACATTCAAATACATCAACCGAATCAATAAATACCGCACCACACACGAACAAAACGAAAACAACCTACAACATCAAAAGAAGAAAGAGGCTACCTTCACATACACTGGAAGAGAGACAAAGAGGACCACAAAGCTCTTTAAAGAAACATCAATAAAGTAGTATTCAGAACGCAATACATAACACAATAACACCACACTCACAAACGGATAAGAAAAAGTGGAATATAACTAATGAAATGCGTAGACTGCTCACTGAAATGCACAGGAAACACAGGCAGAACATTTCATGCTAGATATAAAGAACATACACAAGCAATTAGTAATAACAGGAACTCTGGATATTCAAATCATATACTGAACAAAGGACATAACAACATATGGTACTACACCAGACACTACACTGTAAAGATAGAGAAAAGTAAAACACTTGAACACATTAGGAAGACAACATATATAGTATATATATATATATATTGTGACATGTTGCGNGAAGGCTATTCACAGTTCAGTTGTACTGTAACAGTCGCCGAGTCGAGTTGTACTGAGTCAGTCAGTGAGTCCTGGAGCTACCACCGAGTTAGCCAGCAACTAGTCAGTTGTATTCTGGCATTTGGAGTGTACTATTTGTGATACTGCAGATAGCAGTAATCGTAAATCTGTAATTCGGGTGATTGTAAGTGCGAATGTGAAATAGAATTCGCTACATCAAATACGTCGAGAAGTTATTTGTCGCGATATACCCCGCGATACGCGACAATATATATATAAAGTTAGTAAAGCTAGATTACACATGAACGAAACGTACATCGACATTTATAAACCGATATATCGAACAGCAGCACACACGCTCCACCCCCTCAGTTCCACGTCAGTCTCATATCACCCACACTTCACACTTGACAGGCAACAGGCATGCACATGTAACCGCATTAACAGTACACAAATTACAGATATCCCATGAAAGGAAAATACTAACAATTCATCATTACACATTACAGAGACAATGCACTGACTTAATTTATAAACACTATAAACACGAAAACATGAGCCGGTATAGCGACTGGATACGGGATGGACGACCGAGGCGTCGTCGTTCGAGTCCCAGTAGGTTTAAGAATTTTCACTTCTTCGTTTCGTTCAGACCGGTTCTTGGGTCCACCCAACCTACAATTTAATGGGCACTGGGGGTTCTTTCCTGCGGGTAAAGTGGCCGGGGCTTGAAGCTCACCACTTACCTCCTACTAGAGCGGCCTCCGTAGTCTAGGGGTAACGTTCCCACCTCATGACTCAAGGTACGCGGGTTCAAAAACCCGGCGGAGGTCGTGGAATTTTTAAGGACGGAAAAATTCGGCGAACAAGTCCTTCGGGAGAGACTTTAAGCCGTGGGTCCCGTGTCGTAGATTTACGGCACGTAAAAGAACGTCATGTCTCTAGGAGACCTCTGAGCAAAATTAGGCCAAGTTTCCCGCCCAACTAGTTTCCAATTACTCTGGTAGATGGGGGAAGTATCAGGTACCACTGCCAGAGGAGGGGGGACCTCTCTGGCTGAAAGGGACTAAAGTATTAGATACCACTGCCAAGTAGAGGGTAGAAACCTTGCTGGCAGAAAGGGACTAGGAACCCCTGCCAGAGGAGGGACGACCTCGCTGACAGAAAGGGACTAACTATTAGATACTACTGCCAGTAAGGGGTTGGAACCTCGCTGGCAGAAAGGGGCCGATAGTAAGCACCAGTACTGGTAGGGTATGGAGACAGTAGAAATTAAAGGGGGACGCACAATGGACCAGTAACCGGTCAAAGTGCGTGGGGAAACCCACCCTCTCAATACGGAATATGGAATACCTCCTACTAGGGTCTAGGTCAGAAAACGTGGATCTATATATTCACTCTCCCATACATCTTCATGGCGTAGTGCTTAATTAGTTAAGCAGAGGATGTTCATATTCACTGAGCACCGACCTACGACAGATAAAGCTCTCAGATAAACTGGTTATGAATAAAGTCCATCCAACCGCTCCGGCATTAGCGAAGCGCACGCAGGCAGGCAAGCAGGCCAATAGACATGCGGCATTCCGGAAACCACTTTCTCCAATTCAGAGGGGTTCGAAACGTGAAAATCCGTAAAACTTGTGAGACAGATTATTCTTTCGCGTTCACAGTTCAATACGTGTATATGACATTGTAAAGAAACAAGTTATCTGTGAGTTGGTGTACCTGTACTTGTACTGACAAATGAAATTTTCAGTCTAGTTTATTGCTAAAAAAACTCAGGCACTGAACCCACAACTACGGGTGTACATGTCCTTAAAGGTGCCGCTTCAGTACCGAAAGGCCCCTTTCTGATTCTGTTACAATAATAATGAAGGCCAGAGCCACTGTCTTTGGTAAGTGTTTATTGTAAGATAAATTCCAGGGGCAGATTCGCCCTTTGATGACCCGTAGATTGAGCCTGGTAATGTGGGCTGGACGGAGGGACGGTCATGCTTTGTAGCACCGCGACGCATCGCACCGTCTCTTTGAAACAAGAGACTCTCTTGCTGCGTTTGCTTTCCTCAAAGCTTCGCAGCACTCAGTTTATTTCTGTAATTCTAACTACAGTCTGATTAAAATCCCTTTTAAACTAACAACATGGAGATCCCAGTCCATCAGAATCAGACAGTCGCTTACCTACGCAAGAAATTCTCATTATGTGGCAGTAGCGTCATTACGAGCTCCACAAGAACAC